GAATGGATGGGTAGATGGATTGATGGATGGATGGATGGATAGATGGATGGATGGGTGGATGGATGGGTTGGTAGATCGATAGATATATGATGTATAGATTGATGGATGGATAGATGGATGGATGGATAGATGAATGGATGGATGGGTGGATGGTTGGATGGGTGGATGGATGAATGAATGAATGGATGGATGGAAGGGTGGATGGATGGATGGATGGAAGGGCGGATGGATGGATTGGTAGATCGATAGATATATAATGTATAGATTGATGGATGGATGGTTGGATGGATGGAAGGGCGGATGGATGGATTGGTAGATCGATAGATATATAATGTATAGATGGATGGGTGGATGGATAGATGGATGGATGGATGGATTGGTAGATCGATAGATATATAATGTATAGATGGATGGGTGGCTGGTTGGATGGATGGATGGGTGGATGGTTGGATGGATGGATGGAGGAATGGATAGATAGGTGGATGGATGGATACTGACCACACCACCCATCCCTTAACTCGAACCTACAAGCCTCGCTCACACATCACGCATTCAAATTTTCAAAGCAGCTTCCTTCACACACGTAATCCCACACATGATCCTCCACCTCTTCCCTCCGTCTCCCTTTCAAATGCAAACACACCCTCACACACGTACACACACACACACACACACACACACACACACACACACACACACACACACACACACACACACACACACTCTGCTGAGTCAATGCGGATGAGAAAAGACCAAAATATGAGCAGGATTTTCCCCGCCCGCCCTGATATACGGGCAGCTTAAGTGTTCCATTGATTCCGTACTGTACATTCCTGGTGTGTTGGTTCAGCTCTGCTCACTCAGCGCGGCGTCTTAATCTCTCAGGATCGCTGTCAGTTGATGAATCGTCAGTCGCCCGGGCCGAGCAGAGCAGCTCTGTATGGGGGCTGCTGTGTCTCACCACTCACCTTCTGCGTGTCTCACGCGCTTTGCTGTTATCGGCTCCCAAGATGAGCTCCAGGTCTGGTGGGGCTGCTGCCAGTGCACACAGTGCCATGTTTACCAATTATTCACTAAATTGTTAATTCATTTTCTGCCATTTATTGCCATGGCAACTATGTTTTGACATTAGCCCTGTTGGACTGGGAGTAGCATTACCTGGGCTCCTCTCGCGGTTTCTAATAATTGCACAGGTCATCTGTTTCCTTAATTGCTGTTATTCCACCATGCGCGTGAAGTGAAAAGTTAAAATAATGTCTCACGATACCGCAGCTCATCAGGTAATATTTTATAATCGCAGTAATTAGAGATTGAAGAAGAAAAAAGGAGGATTGGGGATTTGGCTTCGTGTTTTTGGCAGAGAGCCGTCCGGACTGCAGGGGTTAATTGTGATTGAGGGCTTGGATTGGATTCGGGGTGCGGAGGCAGGAAGCCCATCCAGATCCCCGGCATGGGGAGCCGCTCAGAGGAGCTCACTGTAAATCACTCAAATCAGGAATCTACCCCCTATGTCGATGTTTTTCTGCTGGAAACATCCAACAGTTTTTGTGTGCGTGTCGACTGAGAACAGATCACACGGTTGCTTTCAGTTACGTACGGAAGGAGAATAAAACCCATTCACTCTGACATTGTCAGAAATACACGCGTTTGCTCCAGTGGCATCTTCAGGGAACCAGCACGAGATGAGAAGAACCGCTCTCAGTTTGCTGCAGAGAAGAAGCAAATGTTTTCCAAAATGTCCAAATATGCTTTAATGCATCGAGGAAGTTCGCTTCAGAATAAAGATAATTTCTGTCATCACAGAAATGCACATTTTACAGCGGTTTGTTCCTTGTTTTTTCTGCTGTCAGTGTAAAAATGTAATGAAATGCAACCCGACTGTGGTGATGGACGCAGACGAATCCTCAGAGGAGGGTCAGGTTTTTTTATTTCACCGTACGTGTTACATGCAGACGGGTGTGCGGTTACAGGCATTTAGATGACCAACTCATCAGGAGGAAAGAACATACCGGGCTGTTTGAGGCGCGTGTGTGTGTGTGTGTGTGTGTGTGTCACCAGTTGTTTCATATAAATAAACTGTACATATCTTTTCTCCTGCTGTCACTGGGTGGCGATGTGCCTCACACACACACACACACACACACACACACACATACAGATATAAATTCCAGCCGGAGATTGTGTCATAAATATCACACACACACATTCCCCCCCCAGCAGCAGCTCTCTGGTGTCGGCTCCCGTTGCTGCGTCCACTAAGACTACGGGATGTTTGACCTCTTCTGACCTCGAGCCGGCCAAGAAGCCGCCGCTGATCCACATATCAAACACCACCAAAACACCAAACACCACCAACACCGTCTGACGGAGATGACCTGCATGGAGGAGTTCATCCATATATAATATATCCATGTATGAATATATGGGACAAACATATATGTAGTCGATTGTGATGTCAATTATCAGCTTGTCATTTTCTGTGTCGTTCACATGGAAACGGAAATCATTTGCTAATTAACAAAAGGTTTGAATTGAATGTAATCAACTAAAGTACACAAATACTAAAGATGAGGTGGAGGCAAAGGTCAAATTAGACAAACACAGCAGAAGTCGAGCGTCCAACAGCAATCGTCTAAACAGCTTTTACTGACTGTTGGTGTTAAACTGAGGAAACCAAACCATCACATCCATACATGTGATTTGGTCAATTTATCTGTAGGAAATGTTTTAGACTATGACACAATTTAGTTTTTATCCTGTAAATTGGATAAACAGGTTTTAAGATGGGGAGGGATTTGTTGCTGTAGAACTTGAACATGACTTCCACTTCGCCAAGAATCT